CCGGCATTCCAGCTCAGAAGACGGGCCTACCTAAATTTAGTGTCAAACTATGACTGGCTATTTTGCAAGTCAGAAAGTCTTGATTTCGTCTAATAAGTAGAGATCCAAAGATTACATATTCTGGACACGTTTCCTTTGTCCTCTGGAATCCCTTTTTTTTTTTTTTGTTAGAAGTCCTGTTCTAAATTAATGTCAGCCTACTACAACTGGCCATTCTCTAAACTCAGAGGCAGTGATCTTAGCTATATCAATTTAATAACGAGTTCAACTCCTTGGATCCAATTTAGTTTAACCACTTATAGCCGGTTTTAAATTGGGATTAGAATTATTTTTTAAAGCGTATTTTATTTGAAAATATATTAAAATAATATATTTTTTATTTTTTTAAAATTTATTTTTGATATTAAAACAATTAAAAAACATAAAAAAATTATTTTTTAAAATAAAAAAACAAAGCTGCTTTATTTGGGCCGGAAGAGAGGGGTACTAATATCTGACACTCGGACTGTAAATGGGTTGGGCTTATGTATTCAGTGAGTTGGGCTTATCTCATTTGTAGTCCTCGTGATATTAATGTTACAGCTTCTACATGATGGGCATCCAACTACAGCCCATTGGGTCTTGGACAGCACCGAAACGAAAAATATTGTATCTATTCTAGAAACGTGTTTGTTTCCTTCTTGATTTTTTCTTGTAAAGTGATTTTCCTTAAGAAAAATAATTTTTAAAAAGAAAAGTATTTTTTATATTTGGTGGTATTATAAAAAATAAACCAAAAATTAATTTTTTAATTTTTTTAAATTTATTAAAAAAACAAGGACCAGAACTAATAAAAAAAATTAAAAAATAATGAAATTAAAAAAAAAAACTCAGTTTCATAAATTATTTTAGAATGAAACAACTGATAATTAAAAGAATGGAACCAAATCTAACAGGAAAAAAGTTGAAAGAGGATGAAAATAAAAAAAATCAGTTTCATAAATTATTTCAAATAAAATAAATAGTAATTAAAATAATGATGATCAAATATGACAAATTAAAAGTTTGAATTAAAAATAAAAAAAAATTAATTTTATAAATTATTTTAAATAAAATAAATTAAATTAAAAAAAATATTGGGTAAATCTCACAAATAAAAAAGTTGGAAAATAATGAATCTTTAATAATAAGATTTGGTGTGGTTAATATTGAACCCTTCTTTGCTTTGTATTTCTTCATGACTATCATGATTGAACTTAGTTCGTGATATTGCTGCAGAGAAAGCAGGAGCTTCGAGAATTAATGCCACCTATGTTGGTTTATATCTTTTAAATTCACTATTATTTCTTTTAATCTATTATTATTATTGCTACTGAAACAATATCTGAAACAGGAAAAAAATAATCCACCCATTTGAACTTGTATGAAAACATGAATGCTTCAAAAGCTTTCGTGTTTTTTCAACGGTTAAAACATGAACGGTTAAAGCTTTCGTGCTTGAAAACATCATAACTATAACTACAGAGACATTTAAAATATTTAATTTTATTTATATAAATCTCACTTGTTAAAAAAAACTATTATAATTCTTTATACAGTATAACTAGAAGATCTTGATAACACTAAATAGAAATAAAATTATTTTCCTTGAATAGAAAAAAATAAAAACTTTAAATTGAATAAAAAAATAATTAAAAAAATATTTTTTCAAAAAAAGGTGGTGCACAAGTACATAGAATACATTTATTTCAAGGATGATATGGCAAAGTTTAAATAATCTTGAGAAGGATACTTCTAGATAAAAGTGCTTGATTCATCATTTCCAATAGATTAACTGAAATTAAGAAAGAATAGTGTAAGAACTCGGTTACATTTTTTTCTCCAGAAATTACCTAGAAACCAATATCTTCTTACTTCTTTAATGATAGACTAAAAATTACCTAAAAATACACTCCCATGAGGAAATAATGCATTTAAAGGAATTAATTCCTAACTCATTGAGCTACTGTTGTGTTAAAAAAATTATGTATACAAGTTGGAAAAAAAACGCTAAAATTAGCTTGCAGTCATCAAATCAACCTTGTCTTCTATTATAAAAATTAATATGCTCAAAAAATTATAACAGGCATTGGGGACATTCCCCTGTTAATTTTTTTTTTTAATTTTTATAATAGAAGACAAGGTTGATTTGATGACTGCAAGCTAATGCTCAGATCCAAAGATATGATGAATCACTTCTCTCTTTCCGTGTTTCTAAACCCCATCCTATCCAACTAAATAAGTTACATTAATTATTTTTTCAGTAAATTTTTTGTATAATTTTTTTTCATATAAAAGGATTGAAGAAGGCAAGCACATTCGAAGCCCTAATTAGGCTAGCACGAACCAGCTCAGTCACGCCCGAAAAATAGTAGCGCTAGGCTAGGCGTTCTGCCAGACCCATTTTTCAATGGGTCTTGTGTCACGTCAGGTCTAATTTTTGGTCGGGGACTTGATGCCCGGGGTATTTTCTTGACCCTTAAATCCTTGGTTTAGAGTGAAATTAGTCCAACGTATCCAAAATTATATTTGGATATAATACACATAGATTTAAATACGATATCTAAAATCATTTTTTATAAACCCCTTAAACCATCCAAGTAAAAAGTTTTGAATCCGTGCACGTTCTAAATATCTAGACTCTCTCAAGTATTATCTCTCTCACATAAATACTAATTTAAATATTTGAAAGTTTTCAAATTCACCCAAAAAAAATACCCTTTTGTAAATAATTGATTTCCAAGCTCCAGCTACATTAATTTGGGCTATATTGAGATTGAAGAGTGGATCATATTGCAGCAACAGATATTTGACCACAAAAAAATTTATTTTAAGCATTTAGTATTTTGAAACATCATCAACAATGTTTAGCATTATATAACCAATTGATGGACAAGAACTCCAAACCCCACCCGTCTAACCGTGTAAGAATAGCATCAAGGATTGGTCACACGGCAGATGCATAGCTGCCACCATAATTTTTTATTCTTGAAGCAAAGCATAGCTGCCGCCAAAACTTTTTCTTAGACAAAGTTTGATCCTCCTTCATTGTGAAAGATACAGCTACCACTTTTTCTTAGGTTTTAAGGTAGACGACCAACAGTTGTCAGAATCTGAGAGGGCACTTGGTCTCTGTGATTTTCTTCCACGAGAATTTTCTGCTTTCAAAACCACGTCTCCTTGATTTTAAAAGGGGAAGGTGCGAAGCCAAATTCTAGTAAAGATACATCCAAGCTGCTCCTGGGAGATTTTTTCCCAGTCCCTAACGAATAGTCAGACAGTACGAGTTGGTTACCCACAAAGCCGAACTTCAGAACCCTCCCATGTAAGCCTCGCAGCAAATTACGGATGTCTCCTGGTTTGAACATCTTCAGGTCCAACCTGGCCTAGTTCATTGAATAATAACCCGTAGGAAATTAGGAAGGGTTGGTCACCCACATAACCGATTTCTCATTTGCCTAATCTTGCATCAGGTTCCTATAAATACCGTATCCCTTTCTCCTCCCCCCATCAAGCTAATCAAACATAATAGTTACCAAGAGATCTTCACCTTCCACGAGCATTTCCATCGCCTAACTGGAGATTCAATGGCCCACGCAGCGATGTCAATGGATTTGGCCGTGGTCCTTGTGACCATGCTTTGTGCACGAGCCATGGCTCAATCAGATTGTACAAGTGTTCTAATCAGCATGTCACCGTGCCTAAATTACATTACAGGCAACTCCTCAACTCCATCCTCACAATGCTGCACTCAGCTAGCTAGTGTTGTTCGCTCATCACCCCAGTGCTTGTGCCAAGTTCTTAATGGGGGCGGCTCATCGCTAGGGATCAATGTCAACCAAACTCAGGCTATAGCCTTACCTGGTGCTTGCAAAGTGCAGACTCCACCCATTAGCAGCTGCAATGGTAAGAAAGAATTGGGTTCACTTCTCTCTTTGCAATCTCAACTTCCTTTGAATCTCCCTGTCAAAACTCCTGTGCCAAAATCCGAGATGCTAGATCTCCCTGGACAACAGCTAGGGGAGACAGCATTAAAAAAATAAGATAAAATTTATATAACCACGAAGATATCACTGCACAGTTTCAAAATTTTCATTATGATCTGATGCTGACTCATCATTGTATTGGGCAGGTGCCTCTCCAGCTGACTCACCCGCAGGAACATCAGAAACTCCAAGCTCCCCTTCAGGTACAGCATAAAATGTAAACATTGCCTTTGAAAGTAACACATTTAAACAAATCAGAATGCCCCTTTACCCATACTTTATTGTTGCATATGATTACTTGCTATGAAAACCACCATATGGTTGATCAAGGACACCAATTAGATCCTGAGAAAAGGTTTTCTGTCTTGTTACTCTATTTTTCTATTAACTTGCTCGTGGTGACATTCGCTGGTGTAGGAACTGGATCCAAAACTGTACCATCAACACAAACAGATGGAACATCAGGTGCAAGCTCCATCGAATTCTCAATCCCTTTACTGCTCCTCCTTCTCTTTGCTGCTTCATATGGTTCAGCCTTCACAAAGGTTTTCTGATCAGGCAGTCAGAACCTTTCTCTAAACCTTGCATCTCGCATATTCTTGGTCATTGTTGTATTTTATAATATATTACCGAGTGCCATCTTGGTTGAGGGTGCATGTATTGTTTATTTTTTGTGACATCTTAAGAGATTGGTGTAGTTTTGTATTGCTGGAGATGTTTTGCTCTCTTGCCTTCCAAGTAAGACATTTATATGATCCATGCTTGAAGTACATCAGACAGATTTTTTTTGTTCTATGCATGAAGCACATTAAACAGATAGAAAGTTTAAAAGTTGTCACTTCCAAGGAGTCGAACATAAGCTGAGCTAAAAGGGATGGAAATGAATAACATAATAACGAAGAACAATCAAGTTCGTAAAAGGTATTAACTTGACAGTTTTACATGTACTGAAGTCAATATCCTACTAAGAAACAAACCATGTCAGTCATGTTCCTCAATCTAATACCATAGGTTAGATCACTACATAAAGAAAAATAAGAGGAAAAGCATCATTAGAACAGACCTTGTGCTGTAAACCCAGCCTTTCAAATTGTCAGATTCACTCCTGCAAAAACCAAAGCCTCCAGCTCTCAGTTGCGACACACCATTGGAAGATAACTTGAACAACATGAAACAAACAGGAGACCATAACATCCACATATTCAGGCAAGGAATGCTTGTCATCCTTTCTAATTATCTCTGCACATTACCCAGCTTGTAGTCAGTTACAGAATGGTTTCTGTTGACATAACTTTACCAAAAAAAGATACAGTAAATTTCACAGCCTACTTTGCATGGCTTTCTTTGTACACTCTAGCACTAAAAGATTTTCAAAGCACAAATCATATTAAAAATACAGATTTATAAAACGATCCATAGCAGACTAGTCTTCCAGCTCCAGTCTTGAAAAAGACTAGGAACTGAGAGCACCCAAATTCTTGGCAAGTACAGATTTATCAGCTAAAACATCCAAAAAACCTGTCCGTATTTTAACTTAACTAAACTGAATGTCTCAACAAAACCTTGTTCTTAGCACAATTAAAGACTCCAAGCATGATCTTTATAATTTTTAAATCTATTAACTATGAAGAAAAGCAAATGGGCTATCAAATATCCTAGGTTTAGGGTTTAGGGTTTAGAGTTTAGGGTTTAGTGGCAATGTTGATTTGTAACAAAGCTCTGGATGCAGAACATCAAGCCCCATTTATAGGCCCCAGCTAAAGCAGACCCAATTGCATTACCTACAGTAATCATTGCTTCTCTGTTTGAGCTCAAGAGAGGCTGGTGAATTGAGCGAACTGCAACATCAAAACTCAGATTGAATGATTATACTAGCCAATCACCTTGAAAAAGCATGGAGCAGGACCTCCTAGCTCAAGCGGTTGCAAATTCAGTCTAGCCCTTCTTGTTTTTTCTTTAGCTCAATTGCTCTAATCTGGCTTGTTGAAGAACAAGCTAATTTGCTAACTGCACAAGGGTTCTAGCATATGTTCAAAACTCACATCCAATTACAAATATCCATGATAATGCTGGTGAACCCATCAAACTAACTCTAGGCTTCTTCTTTTCTGAATAGAAACTAGGATCAAGCAAACATCATTCAGCCCATTATGGGTTTGGATAAAATTGTTTACGTTACCCACTCACTTCAAGCAAAATTAATCTCCTCCAACAATCAGTATGGAATCTCCACTATTCTTTATATCATTGGGTATTGATTAAAATCTCCAGGTCATGCCATACAATGATTAACAGCACATTTACGTATTGCTCCAGTTTGGACAAGTATCTTGTTTATGTCACTGCCAACTTTTGCACTGATATATTATTCAAGGGCAGGGACACTTGGTCAAAAACTATAAGATCAATATCACAGAAAAAACAGAGAAAGAAAGATAAAAGAAAACAGAAAATAGCTCCAGCATGTATTCCAGGCATCGCCATCAACAATATTATAAAATAAAAAAGGTTTGCATGGAGAGGCATGCTATCTAACTATAAATGCTATATTCCATCCATATGCTGCAAAGAATAGTGAAGCATATGGATGGAATATTACAACTGATATTTTCAGGGAGCAATGTTTAGCACACTAACAACACATGCTTCAAAGAAAATCAATTATTTTAAGCCACCATCTAAACATAATGAATTCACCATATGGCAGAACCATGTTGACAGATACCTTGATATAGATTTGAAAAATTCAAAGATATGCAAACATAAATAGGATTTAAGGGAAGAAAAAAAAAGTTACTAACTTCTAAAATTCTGCATGCTTCAAGTGTGTGATCGTGAGCGCATAAATTCTTCTAATCTTTCCTACACCTCCAATGCTGCAGCTCTATCCTTGTGTCTCTTGTTCTTGCTAATCTGCATAAAGCAATTGAAGTGGAAGAGACAGGGCAAAAGCCAAAAAACGCCACCCAACAAAGCAAATATAATCAAAGGGGGAAAATGCTCACCGAGATAATCTTTACATTCCACTGCTTCACAATCTTTTCTGATTCCACACTATCATCTTCTAACCGCATGAAAAATCCAATAACTGCATGAATTTAAACAATTTATGTTATTCCAATCGAGTCCGAATATGACTTCAAAAAAACTATATCACACTATAAGAATCTGCTGCAAAACCTAAAGAATCAACCAACATCAATCACCAACAAAGTAGAAATCCCAAATATAACTACCAATTGAATCCAACAAAAACCAAACCTCACTTACTTTTATTAAATATCTCAGCACGATCCTTAAAAGGCCAATCCATGAATTGCCACTTCTTCCCCAACACAAAAATTGCCACAACCCTATCCCAATCATCAGCTCTAAGCGCAGACGGCTTATCCCTCACCTCATAAACCGTCATCACACTATTCCTATCAGTACTAAACTTCTTCTGCACTGTAACACACTCTGGTTTCGGCCTTTTCATCTGTTTAACCTTCACATCCGTAGGTATATAGACCCCCTCTTCCAAAAACTCCTTCACATTATAAATGGTAATCAAAGTCTGAAACGCGCTAGGTACCAAAATTATGCGCATTCCCTCCCCGATTTTCCTACCTTTCAGATGCATTTTGGGCTTGGCTGCCGAATCATAACCCAATTCATCACCACCATACCCGATTCCTCTCTCACCAGCTCCCATTAACCTACTCTTCGCCACCAATCCATCTTTCCTACGTTGACTCTCAAATCTCTGCATCTCCTCTTCACGCCGAGTCGTCGCAACCAAAACCCAAAAAAATCCCTACTCTTACGCTCCAACAACGACTCCCTATATCTTTCAACGGCGTCTCATTGACGTAAATCAAAGACATGATTTTCAACACTCTCGTTCTCATTCTCCTTGATCTGTTTTTTATTTTTATAAATTTGATCTTTTTTAAATTTATTTGTAAAATTCATTTATAATTTATTATTAAAATATTTCTCAACACTGTATACGTGAGAGGTGAGAGCATACAAAGTAAAAAAAAAAAAATCATAAAATCATGCTAATATATTAAATTATAAAAGAATAAAATTTAATAAATAAAAAAATTAAGTACAGGAATAAACATTGTAATCCACAGTTAAAATAAATCTATGTGAACAGGGATAGTTAATGTTTATTTTTCCTTCAATCTTTTTGTTTCTTTTACAACTATAATAATCCAGAGCTTTCTTTTAATATTGCTAGGAGATGTAATTAACCGTAAAGCGTGAGAAAAAGTCTTGTATAACTCTAATATTTACATGGCTTAGCCCCCACTAATCTTGATTTTTTTTAATTAATGTATATGTTTGGATTAGTTTGTGTATATTGGTTAATCTTACAAATCTTAAAATTAATAATTATATAAATTTTTAATAATTTTTAAGTTTATAAAACTCAAACTAATAATTTATAAAAAATAAATTTAAAACCTAACATATTAAATTCCTTGCTTTGAGATTTAATTTTGGTCAAACTTTAATCTTACAATGGTGAAATAAAAAATAAAAAAATCACTGTAGCGATCAGAGGTAGAGCTGGAGTGAAAACCCAAGCCTTTTAACTTTTTCTATAATTTTTATAGATCTACCAGCGCTTCTAATCTCTCCATATGTGGCCACTCAATAAATCTAGTTTTAGTAACCATTTGCCAACCCTTTACTTCACTATTGGGAAGCCAAAACATAGCCAAGTTCACCTCTACATATATCGTTGTCTGAATTTTTGTCGCTGAAAATGGCACCAATAGGCCTGTTGTTGAGGCATATTGCCTTGAAACATGGACGTGGACGTTGAACAGAATTTTCTATGTAATCCATGGAAACTCCTTAGGGCAAGGTTCCCAAGAGCTAAAAAGAGCAACTTTCTCATCCGTAGCCCAAACCATGAAATCATCGATGGAGGAGAGATCCAATGGCCGAAGCCTCTTTTAAGAATTCTGATGTGAAAGAATTTTGCTCCATCTGTACACTTCACCTATATGATAATTTTTTAGAACAGAAGCTTCGGGTTCTTGGTAATTCTTTTAGGAATTTGATGTCTAAAATGATTGAAGTATCATCAAGTAGACAAGCAGTAGTTTACCCAGAAGAAAATGCTAGTGCTTGAATGATAGATAGTATGTGACAACTAGGAATTGTCTGGAACTAAAGCATGAAAGAAAACAAAATTGGGGTCCCAAGTCTTTAACAGGGTCAATTTTGCTTTGCTTGTAGTGGAGACCAAGGAGTGCATTATTTTCTGGACAGAAAGGAACGGCTTTGGCTGCTAGAGGTGCTAATGTCATGGCCACCTTGTTCGACCTTTCTTTATCCCCGCAAGTAGGATATTTCATAACTCGGAACAGAGTATCATAACTAGACATCGAAGAAGAGGGCTCTTCTTAGCTGTATGGGGGGATCACAATCTTAGGTTTATGGGCGCATAACCTCAAAGGTGGCTTAATGCTGTTGATTGAAGAGTTTTTCTTACACTGATGATGAGGGAAGATTTGAGTTCTGGGTGATCATCCAATTAGTTATAACTTTTCCTTTTTATATGTATTTATTTAACTGGTTGTGCTTGCGAACTCGTACCTTTTGAGTTTGAACTCCTGGGTTACTGTAGAGAAATTCTCTTCGATAGATTTTCTAAATTCAAGCTGACATTATCTTGCTTACATCTAATATTGTAATTGCTTTGAGATTCTTCATAGCCAAAGATGGGAAGGATTCTACAGCAAAGGATAATATGATCGCTATTAAGGACCGTCCGTCAATCATTTACAGAACCAAGTCTGTTGAAAGGAAACTATAGACAAGCATATCTCTAATTTCACCTTTACAATACCCGTATTTCCTCAACAGACCCTCTTTCACAAACCCAGTCTTTTCCAGTACCCTTTGAGAACTTCTATTCTCCACCTCTACAAGAGCTTGAAGCCTAACCAGATAAGGAAGATCTTGAAAAACACTAGACACTGCCATCTTCGATGCAATTGTGGCTATTCCTTGTCCCCAATACTCAGCAGCCAATGCATATCCAAAGTTTGCTCTGCATCGATCGTCATTAGATTCCGGGAAGATGGAAATATATCCAATTGAACGATCATCCAGACATATGGACCGACGCCAAGGGTGGGGTATGACAACCTTTTCCAGATGCGCTAATGCTTCTTCTCTAGAGGTAATGGAGTTCCACCTTAGATAACGGGTTACTCTATCATCACTGGCCCATTTCAGGAAGTCATCAACATCGGAAAGCTTAAAGGGGCGAAGGGAAATCCTTGATGAATCCATAAAGACAGCCAATAACAAACTCGATTTGGACAAATTAAGAAGGATGTTAAGGATACAGGCTGACAATCTGGCTACGCTCAATTATTTTATGACCACGATCCAACGTGGTGGGTGTGTCTGAATATATGGTCCGATTTTGAATGGTTGCGTGCAGGTCAAGTATCGGATCAACTAGCGTACAAATATAGAGGAGCCATCTCTTAATAAATAAATGTAATCAGATGCTGGGAGGAACCTGCCTAATTGTGGCGGGAAATAGTTTATTTATCTAGAGCAGTTGGGAGTCATTATTTTTGCTAAAGAGAAATTCTTAAACATAAAGGCAATCGTTTTCTTGACTAACCTCTGGAATAATAGTTTATTTATCCAGCAGTTGAGCTCAGAAACGGGCTTATGATATTTCCTCGAAGGAACTAGGATGAGGTCAAATTAGCTTTATAAACAGAACAAATTGGGATTAATACAAACAGTGAGAACGGCCGGGAAGGTATTTGTGCTTCGATTAATTAAATAACAAAACCATGGCCCTCGCGGTGGCGTTAGGTGCCGTCTCTAAAAATTAAATGACAGTGCTGGGATTGGTTATCTCCCTTTGCTCATCCCGTTTGGTCCCTTTGGGAACAACAAAAGATTAATAAGAAATTTGAGGTCTGCAGAAATTGCAAAGCAAGCATGTTGACCGAAAGAAAGCATGATAGTAGTCCAACAATGGATGTAAAAGCAAGCTGAAAGTACAATATTTCAAGGCATGGGATCAGTAGATAACAGACTATAGACAACCAAATCTATAAATTTACCTTTGATATACATATACTTTCGCAGCAGCCCTTCCTTGAGGAAACCCAGTTTTTCCAAAACCCTTTGAGAGGCTTTGTTCTCCACATCAACCCTAGCTTGAAGCCTGACCAAATCAGGAAATGATCTGAGCCCATCAGAGATTGCTAACTTCAACGCTCTAGTTGTCACACCTTGCCCCCAATACTTAGCGGCCATAGCATATCCGAGTTCTGCCCTGCATTTTTCATCTCCAGATTCTTGTCTGATAAACACAAATCCAATTGAACGATCATTTACACATATAGACCTGCAGTATGGATGAGGAATGCAGAAGTCCTTGATGTAAACGAGGGCTTCTTCCTTGCAGCTGAAAGTGTTCCACCGGGTGAATCGAGTCACTTGATCATCACCTGCATAGCCCAAGAAATCATCAGCATCGGATTCCTTATAAGGACGTAGCGTAATTACTTCCGATGAAATATCGTTCTCCATTTCCTCAGCAAGGATTGATGATGGCATCACTACAGTACTTTTTGCCAATTACCGTGAAATGCGCTTAAGAGCTCTCTAAGAATTTAATAATGGGGAATCAGCTACATCAGTAGCCAGTAGACTCAGTACCATAATTTTTTGAGAAGACAGGCTTTATAAAACAAGGATTCAATTACAGAACATGTTGAAAGAAGATAGAGCCTTCAACAACTAGCTAGATACGGTATCTCGTGGGTAATATCCCCATCTAATCCAATATTAACTATAATTAAATTGGTAAGAAACATGTTCGACAAATTCAACAAAAACTTCACACAAGGGTATAAATCTGATTGATGCTTCGATCTGTGATCTGGGCACGTATCCTATATTGCAGCACATCCTTGATAGATGGCAGGTCATGTCTATCTTGCAAATTGCAATACAAACAAATTTTAGTGCCAAATTTCGTCAACTAGCTTAATAAAAAAATCTAAATCGTTGTATGTTAACAAGGTGATATAATTCTTCCCTTGCTCTTTGATGGGAATGCTTGGAAAAGTGTGTTTTATTGCATTGATCATCTAAGATTTATAGGCACAAGAGCTTGCGAGTGCTGATTTATTTTTTGCAACAAATTCCTTGAATACTCCTCTCCAAATTACAAAAGCATTATGCACATATCCCTCCTTTATCCAAGCGATACGTAACTCACCCTAACACCCTCATCAATAATGAATTAACCATACCACCATTGAAACCACGACCAGTCTGCAACAATGAGAAGTCGACCCCACCACTACTAATAGAGGAATATGTGGGCTCCATCATCTTCTCGATTTAATAAGACAAGTGAAAGAGGAAATGAATTCTTGTGAAGTTAGCGAAGAGAGAAAGCTGAGAATCTTTTGCAATTTGTATATATTTAGGTAGTTGCGGGGCCTTGGTGCAACTGAGGGGTTTGTAGGCAAATATCCGGTGGATAGAGAAAGAGATGGTGTGGAGAGAAAGGGGACTAGGTTTTAATGATTTCAATTTTTTCATAACTAATAATTTGAAACTAATTTTAATCTTGTGAATTGATTAAGTGTGTTTTCTTTAAAGAGGGTGTTTGGAGTAAATTTCATTGATAATGCAACATTGATTTATTAGGCTTATTTTAGAATGAGCCTCTAACAACGTACAGGAGAGGAAGTGACTGTATTTATAATTAAAATCGCAATTGTTAAGGCATGCAGACCTGAGAGATTGATTTCCAGGAGTGATTTATATTTTTGTTTGTCTTTGTATTTTAAAAAAATTAATATTTTTTAATATTTTCAAATTATTTTAATATAATAATATTAAAAATATTTTTTAAAAAATAAAAAATATTATTTTAATATATTTTAAAATAAAAAATACTTTAAAAAACAACATTCCAATCAATCTCATTTTTGACAACTTGAGAAGGGCCAAAAATGGTGGTTAAGATGATCAAAGGCTGAATACGACACACTCCGTCATGCGCTCGTGGCCTAATGGATAAGGCGTCTGACTTCTAATCAGACGATTGTGGGTTCGAGTCCCACCGAGCGTGGTTCCGAATATCTGTCTGATTTTCCAACTATTCCTTTTCAATGTTTATATTATTTTAATTTTTAAATCCATGTATATCAGCGCTCTTTAAACGGTGGAATACCAACCTGCCGCGTAGACAGGCAACCTTTGGTGAATATACCTAAACAGTTGCATTCCGTTCCTGATGCTTCGACCCCTTTGCCATTCGCCGGTGACCTTTGTTTTTTCTTTTCTTCTTTTTGCTACTTTGTTTAATTTTCAGAGTCCGTTTATTCTAAACGGACCAACCCATATTTTTAAAATATTTAATTTTTTTATTAAAAATTATACATTTCATATTTTTTAAATTATTTTAATGTATTAATCTCAAAAATAATTTTTTAAAAATATAAAAAATATTATTTTAATATAAAAAAATTAATAACCATACACCCAAACAAAGCAAAGAAAGCAAAAGTTGTCAGGCAGTGTCGAAGCCTATTGCTTAACGTTTAAACAGACACGTGATAAATATTGTTTAATGAACTAGATAAAAAGCCATCGGGATCAGATTGTTTTCTGCAGGGCTACCTGTTTTTCGTCGAAATTCTGTGGGTGATTGGAAAAATGGTCTGAAGGCTAATCCAGTAATTTGAACCAATTCCCTTTCCAAGATCCCGCATTACTTTTTCCAAGCCCTTTGCTCTTGGAAGCTGGATTCGTTACTTTTTTTTTTAGATTATCGTGGGTGTTCGGACCAGTTTGCGCATACCACAATTAATTTCAAGGGTCCTGAAGTTAACAACTATATAAGCCTCCAGTGACCATCATATGAGTAACCAAGAACTCGAACCTGAGACCACAAAGAAAGCAAATCCCTTGATCCCAAATCCTTACCACTTAACCACCACTTAGATAATTTGGATTCGTTACTCTTGATTACGCTACATGAATCTTCTTCTGCTTTTAATTTTGCGTTTGTGTTTTTTGTGTTATAATGTGTTTTTTCATATTTATTTTTGAAAAAAAACATTACATTTATGTTTTTTATATGCTTTTTAATGGCTTTGATACATTGACATAAAACTAAAAAGATAATTTTAAATAATATTATTTTAATATATTTTTATTTGTAAAATATTTAATGCATCATTCATCCCAATACTCGAAACATCACTGATAAAAAAATATACGAATAAAAGAAAGAGTCAATTAAGTCAATTGGAAGGACACAGTGAGGAATGAATTAACCATTTGTTTTCATAGGGATTGAAAAATATATATAAAAAAAAATATAGGAAGAAGAAAACAACAGGGACCTTTTTTTCATGATAAAATTATTTAATTTGATTCTGTCTAACATCACAATATAAAATTATTTTTTAAAATAATTTTTATTTGTAAATATATTGAAGTAATATTTTTTAAAAAAGTTATTTTAAATTTCAGTATAATAAAACGATGTAAAATAAAAAAATTATTTAAAATAAAAATAAAAAAATTATTTTTTTTCAAAAATATTTCAGGAGAATTCCTCTTTCGATGGAGTTATATCTCCGTTTGCTAAACTAAACAAAATCCCAGACAGGAGAGCGACTCTGCATCTAATTGGATTGCTAAGAGAACCAGCCTCAGGAAATTGATTGAAAAATGAGTTGATAATTGAAAAATGACACTGTCAAAACATCATAAAATATTTGTTTTCTAATTTAATTTAAAAACGCAATAGGGACCAAGTTAAAAACTTTATTTTAAAAAAATATAAATATTTGTAATAAAATTGTGAAAGAGGATATTTATAAATTGCTGGACTTTATAGTCTTTTACTTTTTTCAGGACAACAATGAACTTTATTTTTAAAACTTTGATATTTTTTCATGTGCCAGCCCACAGCCCTCTCTCCAGTAAAAGTAGATTTTAAAAAATATTTTTTATTTTAAATTATTTGTTTATAATTGTATTGTTGTGATGTATTAACATTAAATTTTAAAAATAAAAAATATTATTTTAATATATTTTAAAATAAAATACATGAATTGAGATCGGTAATTTATGATCGTACGCCACCATCACACTGTAGGACATCATTTCTAAGCGGGCCCTCCATATTTCCTCTCTCCGCTTGACTTCCAAATCGGTCCCTGCTTTACAAGAACATTTATTCATTTTCAAAGGGTATTTCAGTCATAAAAAGTAAATACCATTAATTCACGCACCTAAACAAATGCTAGCATGGGACAACGACACAACTTATTATTGCAGTAGACTAGAACCAGTGTGGGCCTTCCTTTGTTTGCGGGGCCAGGAGTCTATTCTCTTTAAGTGGGACCCAGTTAAAAATCGTTAACTTCCAAATTCCCACGAAGGGCCTGGGTGCTGCACCAAGCTTTTGGGCGGCGCCTCCTGCTGCGCCCGTGCCGAGTTTTCTTCTCTTCTCCATAACTTGTTCAAAATCTTCGACTGGACTTCTGCCAGAGGCTGCAACTTCAAATTACAAGATAAATAAATGGAAGAGAATCTAGACGCAAGAGATTTTTATAAAATGCAAGTTAAACCCTTTCTTTCCATTACCAGATCTCGTATTAAGAAGAGTTCCATGCTATAAATAAGATGATCTTATTACATGGACATGCGTAGTCGCCACGGGAGGTGATGTGTGAAAACGCGTGCTAAGATATCACAAAGAACAATTAGTCGCGAGATGAATGATTGTTGCGGGGTGGGAGGGTTCTAATCACTTGATGATTCATGGAAAGGGCTGCATATCCAATAACAAAATGTTTTAGAGGAAAGAAAAACTCTTTTTCAAAGCTGTATCTGATCTTTAAAAAAGAAAAGAAGGGAAAATTCAAAGATAAAAAAGAAGGGAAAATTCAAAGATGAAGCCATCGGCCTCTTACTGGCTAGAACAGGAGTCTTTTCCAATTCCCAACCATCTTAAATTTCTTTACCATTTACAATTTTCTCGTCGCCTGCCAACCGTATGTATCCTCGAATTCGTCCTTGATTTTGTAAAGCAACGATGCACAGTGCTTCGTCCAGAATTATTATTTAGTACACGTGCGAAACCCGGGGGGGGTGGCGGCAGATCGCGGAGCCAGAATCACATAAAGCTCGTAGCTTAGCTGATGTGAAGCTCGTTTATATAAAAATATAGAAATTCACGAAAGATTAAAATTAAATTCAGGTGTTTGATTAAATTTGATACAACATTATAAAAATCAAACTCTCTTTCAGCACCTATATATATAAAAAAAATAAAAAATATAAAAAACAACACAAAACTTAAATTAGAGTATTTTATAAATCAGAGTAGTTACATAATGAATTAAAAATAATAATAAACTTTCATATATAAATTTTATTTTTAAATAATAAATAATGTTTTTATTAATTTTTCCAGCCTGAATATAAACTAAATAAACTTATTTATATGAAGTAAAACATTCTAAAAAATACTAGAAAAATAACAAAAAAATTATAAATAAAATTCTAAATCAACTAGAAATCAACTCAATTATCACATAATAGCTTCTAGTTTATATCACTAAGTCTTCTCTATATCAAATTAATCTAAAAATATATAAATCTAAAAATTTAATTATATATAAAATAAAATCTCTAGAAACTTACAGCACAATTTCAACTTATATAGTAAAAAAATATGTTCAATACATATGTAAATAGAAAAATAAATTGAATTTATAAGTCTCATGAAAAATAAAATCAAAATATTTTAAATTAACCCATCTTCTTTAATCTTCTGAGATTTTTATCTTGTAATAGATGCAATTAACAAATATAACAAATCCTTTG